ATCAGTCTCTCAGGGCTCAACTCGTGGTTATCAAAACAATGTCTGGAATTACAAACTAACTTAGAGAACATCATAAAGAAAGTGAAATTTTTTCATGTTAGATAACTGCGCGCGACAACAACCAACAGATCAACTGAATTTGTTTCCATTTGGTATAACTGTTTATGTTTTAACCAACAGAAACAAATCTTCAATGAATGATAAAAGAGTATGATATCCCCGTTTCTTCTACTTGTATGGTTTGTAGTTCAGTTGAACCAAGTTAATGCAAGTAACTATACATTCGGCTTACTCCTCACGAAACTACCATTCCTGCCGTACAATGTGTATAAAATTGGCGCTGCAGCAAACGTGGCAATAAAACACATCAGCAACAACCCCGACATTCTTCCTAACGATACGCTAGACTTCATATATTATGACAGTGGTTGTGACGGCAGAGTGTCTTTGGATAGAATGGTAACACTCATTCGTGATGACCACGTGGCTGCTATAATCGGACCGGACTGCTCGACGGCATCAATGGCTGCAGGCCTCCTGGCGTCTCAGTGGAACGTTCCCATGGTTGGACACATCTCATCTGCATCGGGATTATCGTCTAAGAGGTTGTATAATACGTACGGCCGTACGTCTTCGCCATATTCTAAAACCGCCTGGGCAGTCATTGAAACCATAGATGCATTTGACTGGAAACATATTGGTCTCTTTGGTGGTGGTTTTACATCCTACTTGGTGAATATTATAGAATCAATAGAATTGGAAATACAACAAACAAATATGACCATGGAAATAATTCGCTTTGATCCAGCTGATGTGTCTCTATATGAAGAGAAGCTGGATGATATGGTTACAAAGGCAAGAAGTAAGTTAATTTTTTTTAAAGCGTGTCATAAAAATCGACAAGATTATACTAAATTCGTAGAATGTACTGTGTAGTGGTGGAACAAACGTGTAAGCTAGGATTGTAGTAAGTCCACGTTTTACGTATTCCAGAAAATGGTTGAATGATACCCAGGCACAATACTAGTTTTAGGAAAACTATGAACAAAATTTTAGTCGTTAACACAAACCCGGCAACATATCTTAAAAGCGCAATTTTGAATGTGGCGTTGAACACATAACAGAAATGTTCGCACCATTATTTGTAATTCTTGGTCAAAACGGCCATTGACCACTTTTTTATTATTGGTTACAGTCATTGTATTAGTTATGAAAATTGAACAAGTTCGTGAACTTATGCTACTTGCTTACGACAAAGGGTACCTATCTAATGGAGAGTATGTGTTCATAAGTGTGGAGCGAATAACACTGGGCGTCTATGAGGTGAGTATGTATGTAACAGGCTTACCCCTATGTTCACCCTAAAATCAGGATTATGACAGTGTTGCAATATTTATATTCCCTCTTTTTATATATATTTGAAAAAAAAATTTTCAACTTTTTTATATTTATATACGGAAAATGTATATAAATGTAGCGTTACGAATATTGCAAAACTCGGCTGCCATATCAGATACAATATATTAGTGCGTGTTTCAATTACCCGATATCTATGATCGGATGAAAGTGATCACATTGCATAGCATATTTAGAGAGACATATATGCAGTCATGGTCTTTGGATAACACCACACAGCATGAGAAGATGACCGTAAAACGCTTTAAAAGAAGATTTGTGTCTCACCATATAAATAGATCGTTTCTACAAGCCAAATGAAATCCGCGGCATATAGTGGCCATTCGTTTATTTTATTGTTTAACACATTAATGAATTCCAAATGCGGTTTTCAAAAACACCAATATTTTGCAAAAACAAGCATTTACCCTTTTGAAATTAATGTACCCCGAGGTGCATCTGGTTGTCATTCAAATAAAAACTTCCCAACGCCGGCCTATTCTATCATTTTAGCTTTGCAATAAGCTAAATGACAAAATGACAATGTCCATTGATACATCAGTGGTCCAACTGAAAAAAAATTCGTCGACAAATATACTAAGTTAACTAACACCATAATTTTACAAAACACATTTACTAAACTACAGGGTACGGCATGGCGGAATGGTGTAGAAACTCGGATTGACGACTTGGCGACTGCCTTCAAATCTCTTCTGGTACTAGAAATGGTTAATACCGATGTGGAGGCGTTCAATGCATTTGCCCTGGAAGTTAAGGAGAGTTTTTCAGAACCACCATGGTATATGAACATGACTGATGTTTCTGGGGTAAGATATAATACAGGAGTTTAATTTGTAATTTTACTTCACTAAATCACTGGTCTTCATTTATTACTGTATCACACAACGATTCTATGTAAATAAGTAAATAAATATGTAAACTTTTAAGGCACAATTTACTAACCGTAATGATTTACTAATTTAAATATGATAAGCAGAATCCATAAGGCTTGCATACATTTTTTTTTAAATCACAACTATTCTAATACGTTCGAACTAGTTTACATTACAAAGACAGATTGACGGGGCTGAATATGATAATAAGATAATAATAATACTAATAATAATATAAACAGTAAAACATCGCTGGACGTGTATGTTCCCATACAATATTATGATACATGTTAATGAAAATTTAATTTCAAGAAAAAAACTTTTCATGGAAGTAATTGAGAATACGCAATCGAGAATAACAAACATATTTATTACTTTGTTGTACAAAGTCTCGACTCAGAAACATAGCAAGAGTCTTGTCTATAGATGTAATCATTCCCACACTATAAGTGCAGCAAAAAGTCAGCTCGAGATAGAGAGTAGTGAACGCATATAGTGTTTAGTTGAAAGTACTCGTGTATACATACTTATTTATTCATTAACTCAGTAACGATTATTTTATTCTCTATTAGAGACATAAAAAAAATCAAAATAATTAACAACAAACATATAATTTATCGTATTTCTTAACATATTTTTTTAACTTAGGGGCAAAAGTTGCGTTTTTTTGTTTAGTTTTTTTTGTTAGAGCACTTTATTCAGTCCTTATGATGCCTACTTTAAAAAGTTCTTAGTAGAGAAGGACGTTTATTTCTTTTCTTACCACAAGCGTCTCACCTCCCACGGACGTACTCGATGCGATGCAAGTGCTCCTGTAAGATGTCAAGTTATTTAGCCATTAAAAAAAACAGACAAACTAGAATTAGATGTTTGGGTGGCATATGAAAGAAGACCGCCAATGTAACTGTTTAATGACGTATATTTATGAACCTCACGGTGATTTCAATAGTATATAACATTCTTTTTTATTCCTCATATCCAAGCTCAATACGACCCTTTCTATCACTTAAATGAATAAAATTAACACTTTATATATTTACCAGGTCCATTCTGTGGCTGCATATTTGTATGACGCTACACTCCTGTATGCACTTACTCTACATCGAGTACGAAGTAATGGAGGCGATCCTTACGACGGAAGAAACTTCTTCAAAGAAATGCAAAAAGTTGACTTTCAAGGTATTTACCCGTGTTGGGTCTCACTTGTATGCACATGTTGCAAAGTTGTTACAAATCATCATATTATGATCATAGTTAGATATAAAAAAAACGGTTAGTAACATTCTTACCAGATACGTGGAAACTTCAGACCCCAAAATCGATGTGCAATCAACGCAATCGAAAAGTGATAACACTTTCACATACAAATGTTGTCAAGTATATAAAATTTGCAAAAAAAAAAAAAGTATCTTTATAGTTGCACCAGAAACCGTATGCATGTAATTCAGATTCAAAATATGTGTCTGGTTAGACTCACTGCAACTAAATTAGATTCAAAATACGATGTATCGAAGAGATACAAAATAATTTTAAAGCTTTCAAATTATTAATCAGGTAACATGTGTATGCCACTTAGTTTTTGTATTAACCGTGAGCAGGAATTCTAATATAGGATACATTATATGGACAAAATCTGTAAAGGCGGCAACGACATTATTCGCCACTGTAGTGCAATTTGTCTGTAGTGTATCTGTGGCGTATCAAGGTACTACCGGTAACACCTGAGCGGAGCGAAACGACCACTCGGCGCACTCATCAAAGACGCTTACAGTGAGTGTAAAGTAATAATATTATGATTGTTTCCCCGCTAAGCACCTCGTGATGTTTACAGTTTTGTTACAATGTTTGCCTGTGGTCTGGTAGAATATTTTTTAGAGTGGACGCGATCCAGACGTCACGGATAAAAATCGCACAGAAACTGGAAAAAAACTCTAATTGCCAACTCCTAAAATGAACAAAAGTTTCACTGAACAAACAAATATCCGTTTGTTTCAAAATATCCACGTACATCTGCACCGAACACCTCTTCCACAGCGGAATAAATAGCAACGCCCAAGTTGTGGTATGCAAGTATAGATCGCTCGCTCGATCGCTTCAGTGTTAGCCTCGCTCAACTGGTTCGTAAACAGTCTTGTGATTGGTTCTGGACAAATTCTGAACAGGCCACGCCCCCAACTACGCCGTGCTTTCGGGGCAACCGTTAATTATTCATAAATAGAGTCAATTTGTGTAGTTTTCTTGATTTATTCTGCAGATATCGGTAAAATATATTCAAGGTTTTGGCGAAATTTGTAAGAGCAACTAATATTCTTCAACCTGGTATTTTTTATGGATTTTATTTTTCCTTCTGTTCGTCTGTTTTTTCCAGTTTAAAAAATATGAGCTCGCTGGAACCTTCATCTTTGTGTATTTTTACACCGGATACCTGCCGATAACCCCCCCCCCAATTATAAAGACCGCGTACAGTTGATCATAGTTCCTGGGCTCCCTGTTATTTGCCAGAACGATATTCTCTCCCAAGCTGATTCACCTGCATTTCTACGATTGGGTTTGGTTTGCATTGATTCTTCACTAATTACAACGCTAGGCAATATTGGCGAAAATTACAGTTGAAATCGAACACTAGTTTTAAATAAACAGAAACATTGTCACAACTGTGAATATCACGCGGTGCTTATCGGGGAAACAATCATAATATTATTACTTAACTCTCACTGTAAGCGTCTTTGTTGACTGCGCCGAGTGGTCGTTTCGCTGCGCTCAGGTGTTACCGGTAGTAGAAAGATAGCGCAGGATTTTACCTTTCCATGCAAATAATCCCCTAAATGTGCAAATGGTATTACGTCGTTCAGCTGCATGCATAACTTTGAACTCATCATCTGTGCATAGGTATTTCAGGCCGTATTACAATAGATGAAAATGGTGATCGAAATCAAGATTTCTGGCTTCTCAATTTCGATGCTATCAATGGCGTTTTGGTCAAGGCTGGTTTGTATGATAGTGCAACTAGTACGCTTCGGCTGCTTTCTGGTACAAAAATAGCCTGGCCTTCTGGAAAAGATGAGCCTCCACTTTCAGTACCGATATGTGGTTTCCAAGGAGAGTTATGCATAGAACCAGAAAAAGGTAAGTTTATACCGATGTATGCTTGTACACAGGTCGGAGTGACGGTTATTATCGTATCATGGTCGGTGGGCACTTTGTTCATGAACGTGACGCCATGTCAGTGGTGCGCTGTAAGAAATCATTATTTTATATATTGCTACATGGCACTCGTTCACTTGACAACAGAAATTACCATACAGGTCTTTACCTAAAATCAATTGTTATTTAAAAAAAATAACTTAGCTGAATTATTTACAAAGATATGACTTTTATATAATCGACGAATACATTAGACAATATGTGCAACAATTTGTGTTCGCTGCTTTTTAATGTGTGTTTTTTCATATTTTTTTTCTCAGATTTGACGAATCTTATAATAGCCATTATCGCTTCCCTGGCTATAGCGTTCGTGGCTTCTATAATTGCGTTTGTCGTGTACCGGAAACAACAATTCGAAGCTGCACTACTGGAAACAGTATGGAAAATTAACTACAACGACATTGCGATGCAGAAAAACTGGAAGGTGATATATGATTCAAAACTGTATGTATGTTTGTATGAGAGGTACTTGGCACTCTCCTTTAATTAGAATGGTGCATTCAAGTACATATTGGATAATTGTTCAATAATTTGCAAAAATGCAAAAATAATTGAGAGTTGTTGAATTAATAGTACAGTTTAATCGTATCATTTTGAAGTGCGTGTTCAGAGAGAAATGGTCAACAGAATTCAATAATAAAAATGTTTATCAATTATGTTACAGTCCAGAACAGGATTTAACGACACATAAACTGGTCAGTTATAAACTTAGGAATTATGGTCCAGCCGTTGATGATCGTCGCGCGGCGCATGTGCGACAATTGTACTGATAAACACTGATTTTCTGTCAATCCAATGCGCTCTTTTATTGGAAATCACGAGTATGTGTCTCGACCAATGCGCAACGTACTTAATTACCCCACGGTGACTCTTTGGATACCTTCCAATCACGAAATAAATTATATAGTTACGACTTAGTAAAGTCACAGTTTGTACTCGTTGTTCTGCAACAACAATCAATATCGCCATGTTCTATATTTCGCGCATGTGTGGCTCGACTACCACCGCCCAGTAAATTCAATTGACACCCAAATATATCAAATCAGACACATAGACTCGCACAAGTGAAGGCAGCAATGCCAGCAGGTTTTATTGAGGGCAGTCTTCAACCCATATTTGGATATTTCATATTTAACGAATGTGCATGTGAGTTCCCATGATTGCCTTGCCCCAATCAGCAGTTAATAATAATGCATTTGTCTTTCCAATAGTTTCTGCACAATTCAACGTGTTATCCAATTCACTATGACCATCCAACAAACAAAGCCACCATCAATCCATCCAAATTACCAGCCAACCAAATAAATCGAATAATCATTATTTTTTAATATCATACATTAATGTAAAAAAATATACAGGAAAAAACTAGTACATACAGTATGTATTTTGTTCATAACAATTTAAGACGCTACTTTAACAACCGGTATATTATCTGAACGCTTATATTTAGGTCATGTTTTAAAGGGTACACATGATACAAACATTTGTAATATATGGAGAAATTGTTGACACATTATTGTCACTATGGTTGATCACTTAACTTTTTTTCACTGATAATATACGTGTCGTTATTGTTTTTATTCATTTTTTGATGCAAATTCGACACAATTATACATACATATAATTAGAGGAAGTGTTAATGTATAAAACAAATTATTGACACTCATTCTTGTTTTTATAACCACGATGATAAAATATGAAAAAATACCACGATGAGAGGATGACTGTTTAATTGACTATGTTACATCTGTTATAATATTGCAGTCATTTCACGGCAGTTGCGTCAGTGAAAGCAAGGCCAGAGTGATCTCGAGAAGTATTCTTTCAATGGATAGATTTCAAGACATGTACCAACAGCAGGTATTCGCAACGATTGGAACATATCAGGTTTGTAATAAAAAAAATCACATATAGTTATAAAATACTATTTTACCCGAATACCAACAATATTTCTAATAATTGAGCTGTGATACTTCGCATAATTATTTTGTTATTGATGTTTATATTTCCAGGGCGAATTGGTAGCTATAAAAATGGTGAATCGTTCGGGAATAAATATTACACGAGGACAGTTGTTAGAATTGAAACAGGCAAGTGATATTATTTACATGTTTTTCCTTATTATGTAATGTCAGTGTGATTGATTACTAGCGATTATATATGTGCAAAATTAAATGCATGAACTCCATCTATATATATCATTACGATAATACCAACAACATGTTCATCTACGTATTATAAACCAAACGGAAAATATAAACTATTTTATTCTGTTTTAATTACCACACAAAGATGCGTGACATCCGTCATGACAATCTCAATCAGTTCATTGGTGTCTGTGTAGATCCCCCAAACATCTGTATCGTGGAACAGTACTGTCAGAAGGGAAGTCTTCAGGTCAGTATTATAAAATGTTATACTGACTGTGATATTGGGCATACATTATTAGTCATGACGTTGTTATACTTATATTTTATGTTTTATTCTCTTACTGTTATATACTTTTAATTTATGTCTTACTTAGGATGTTCTGGAAAATGATGAAATCACCTTAGATTGGTTGTTTAAAATGTCTTTCGCGAATGACATTGCTGCGGTAAGTTTCTCTTTAATCACTAACGAAGTATATACATTGTATTATATATATATTGTGCAGAATCATATCATTTAGTGTCATAGACTACTAAATAATTTTTGGTATTCGAATAGAATAGAATTCACAAACAGCCAAAACGTACATCACATGGTTTTCTTCATAAAGAAATAAAGCTCATATTTTGTTGATATCATCTCTTCACAGGGTGTTCAATTTCTCCACAAAAGTCCATTAACTGTACATGGTAATTTAAAATCGTCGAATTGTTTATTAGATGGACGTTGGGTTGTGAAATTAACAGATTATGGTCTTTGGGAATTTAAAAATCATAAAAGATTCCGATCAGAAGAGAGCGAAGAAGCTGTTTATCGAGGTGAAATAAAAAATAACCCTGCACAATTCAGAATATATTTTTGCATGAATAACATTTATTACAGATGCAATCAGATCATTAATACAAATTTTTATTGCTTGCGATTATTATGTAACAATCCCAAATAATGTATGATATCACATACTACACCACTGACGTAGAACGCCTTCGAAAAACACGGGCTCAAAACACACATAGTACGCCATTTATGGAGACCAGACGAAGAACGCCGTCGGCGGATATTGTGCTCAATAAAGACCTACCACGTCATTGACAATAAACACTCTTTAATTACATGTGTGCCCACCATTATATCCAATACATACATACTGCGCTATTTACGGAGGACGCTTTTGAAAATAAATTGTGTCCGCTATTAGAACAAGCACACATACCAGTAATTGATGACGCCCCGGAATAACATGCATTATCGCCATTACACCAACCACAACCAATTGACCTGTTCATCGTCTTCGAATAATATGTTTTATCCCTATTAGACTATCCACACAAATCTAGGCTATTTATTGAGGATGCCAGAATGACATGCATTAAAACCGTTAGATTAACCACACTGATCTACTACACAGGGAACCCTCTCGAATACCAGACATTCCCAGCATTAAATCAACCACACTGATATGATAGGCAGAGAACGCTCTCGAATAGAGAATTTCAGTAAATGCATGACCAAAGCCTCAATCCTGTCTCTAAAATAGAAACTCGAGTGGTTCTGGTCTGTTCAAAGATATCTTTTCGCAGTTTTTTTAACATTTCAGTAACAACTTCAAAAAAGTAATAAAACTTGCACGGTGTCGTTAATATACACCAAATCTATCGTTTGTATTTCTAGGATTATTATGGACTGCTCCTGAAAATTTACCAGACACAGATATTGTCAATTCAACTGCGAAAATGTCGCAAAAGGGTGACATATATAGTATTGGTATTATCTTACACGAGATAGTGTACAGAGATGGTGTATATGGTAACACTGTTTTGTCACCACGAGGTTTGTCACGTGTTAATCAAGAATTCACCTTTAGTGTATTTCATATGTAGTAGCATGCCATAGTTATAGAATTATGTAATTATAACAATTCAGTTAATTTTATTCACATAACTGATTGGTTAATATGAAAACAATTTTATTGAACTTTCAGAAATTATTGAAAGGGTGAAGAATATTGAAACTTCTACAGTCTATCGCCCTGGGTTTGTGAGTGATTCCTGTCCACAAGAAATGACTGATTTGATACAGCGATGTTGGCATCCTGTACAAGAAAAGCGATGTGATGTGTCATACATAAGACACATTTTACGTGATGTAAATCCAAACAAGTAAGAGTACATTCAAATATATGTTGTTCACAGTCATTAACTGTGTTAATCGCGTACCTAAAATACGAGTTCTGTATGTTTTACTACTAATTGTCCGTGTAAAGATGATTTTGAAAAAAGAAACAGAATTACGTTAGATATTCGTATATATAGATGATAATTATTCTGATGTTTTGTCTTTAATTCCTTTTTTTAAACTAGTTAGTGTTGTATTCTGCTTACATTCGGTCCCTGAACATTTTCTATGGTCTGCATTTCCTAAAAACACATTTCACGTATATTACAGCGTTCGAATTACTGAGGATTTGTTTAAAATGTCTTCCCGCTTCGTTTATTCCAGAAGTTTAAGTATAATGGACAACATGGTAGCCATGCTGGAAAAATATGCACACAACTTAGAGGAGATTGTCGCTGACCGAACATCACAATTAATGGACGAAAAGAAAAGAACGGAACAGTTATTATACCGAATGTTACCACGGTTAGCCAAGCATAATTCTTATCGGGCAGTTTGAGTATGTTTACCGTTGTTTAAACTCTGAAAAATACCTTTACAACGGTAAATGAGAGACATGAGAAAGGAAACGATTGCGATTGGCTAAACTACTTTGTTCAGTACTGTTTATAGAAGACACATGATCATAGGTTCTAGGCTAGGGTAATTCCAGCCTTTGTAATTTGCTCATTAAGATATATTGGATTATTATTTCAGCGGCATTAAAAAATCCGCCATGCTATTAAGCATGGATGCCATCAATTCATTTTGTTGTGTCTTTTTTCGTACAGATCAGTGGCAGAGAGACTAAAAAATGGCGACCCAGTAGAAGCAGAGACATTTGATTCTGTTACTATATTCTTTTCTGATATTGTAGGCTTCACTGCAATATCCGCGTCCAGTGATCCAATGCAGGTATGATTGTTATGCTAATTAGATATGGTTCTAAATAAGATTTATTAATGTTAACTCTGTAATCTATCATTTACTTATAGTTTCTCGTTTGTTGAGATTCACGCGATGTGGACGCCACATCGCTATGACGTTTGTTTGTCCATTTTTTATGTTCGATTTCACGCATAACAAGGGATATCACAAAAATGGTTTATGTATTGATTTTTTTTTGCAGGTTGTTCAGTTATTGAATTCGTTATATTCCTTGTTTGATGGTATTATTGAGGGATATGATGTGTATAAGGTAAGACAACAATATAGTTTACAATGTAAACTATAATAGTCAGAAAATGTCATAACGCATTAACCACAATCGTCTCACAGCAAAGCGTAATCACACACATCTGCATTTCTGATTTAATTAGGTGGAAACTATTGGCGATGCATACATGGTGGTCAGTGGATTACCGATACGTAATGGAAATAAACATGCTGGTGAAATAGCCACTATGGCATTGGCGTTATTAAGTTCCATTCAGTCCTTCAGAATTCCACACATGCCGAATGAAAAATTAAAACTACGGATAGGTGTACATACAGGTGAGCACACATTCTCGCTCTTTCGATGTCTCCAAAAAACCAAATCGTGTCTGTGAGGGAATATTACAATCGTAGTCATATTTACCCTCTGTATCTGTTTCACAGCTTTTACATAATGTGCATTAGTAATTCAACAATTTTAAACTATGGTTCCTGTATGTGCAAACGAATTTTCATGGATGTCTAAAAAAAATTAAAATGTTATTGATCTTTACAGTTATTTAAAATGCTACCATACCTTACAATTGTCAGTTAGGGACGCGATAAAATCCAATTATGACAAAGACCAATAGAAATAATATGGTATATATGATAGATTAATCAATTATCTACATTTGAGGCATAGTAGCAACGATTGAAAATGCATGCTGTGCTTAGCTCTGTGGCCACTTAACTCTCATTGTGGGTTGTTTTGTAGGTCCTTGTGTTGCTGGTGTAGTCGGAATAGCGATGCCTCGGTACTGCTTGTTCGGCGATACAGTCAATACTGCGTCTAGATTCGAATCAAATGGCGAAGGTGGGTCATATATATATATAATTACTTGTACGTATCCAAAGTGTCCATAACGGAAATCAATTGTGTTTTGTTGGCTGATGAGTGTGCATTTGTACGGACATATAATGTAAACATGGGAGGGCGGGTCTATTTTGCTAACTAATTTCTGTACTGTTAAATCAATTCGTGGTAAAGTACGTGAGGTGTTACTGTCACATGATACTATATAACATTTACCACAATTATGGCTATTCAAATTATACATATATTTATATGTAAGTTCGTATTGTTTATTTCAGCACTCCGTATTCACATCAGTAAAGAGGTAATGGAAGTGTTGAATATACTTGGAGGATATGTATATGAAGAAAGGGGTGAAGTCTACATGAAGGTATTTATAAGATATACTTGTTTCAACTTTAAGCGACATGTTTATTGTATCGCCTTTACAATGGTCGCATTATTCTGACACACCAGGTGAGATTGATGATTTTCTTATGTTTATTTGCAGGGAAAAGGCGTACTGACTACATATTGGTTGATCAGAAAAAACAACTAAGAAAAGATAACAAATTTAGTGTATTGAACGACGCATCCGTAAATGTTTCTGAAGATTTATTGGCCAACCCTTATTATCATACATGTAATGTTTGTTTGCATACGATTTCATTGATCTTTCTGTGAAGCAATAATATAAAAACTATTTTTGTCGACTATGATTATTTATCATTACGATTCTTATATAATTCACCACATGTTCAGATTTTATTGCAGCTGCCTAATTAATCTACCATATGTGACACGTTTATATCGCACAAGTTTTAACTCTTTCAAATTTTCAAATTTTGACATGAAACATGTTTTTCAAGGTCACTTCGCGCTGATGTATGTATGATATTCACAATCACGAATACATCTTTACAAGTAAATTAATTATAACTTAACAGTATTATATGGTTAAATTTTCATAATACAATTTTATTATATGTACATTCGGCTGTTATTGATAATATTATATGTGGTCAAATTAACAAGCATTGTGATTGGAAGTTGTATTTCAGAACTCTCATATATTGCATTACCAGTATTGACGTTTTATATTTGAGACATCTGTAATTATTCACTTTACAAACATTATATAATATATTTCTGCTTTCCATGGTATACATGGTATAACATGTTTGTATATTTCGGGTAATTCGAGTGTTTGATATTTATTTAAATATATATATTATATGCGTTACTAGCCTAAAAGTATATCTGCTTTTGTAAGTAAATTGTGGTCTCATGTGCAATTGTATTTATAAATTTAAATATATTTATATATATATATATATATATGTGTGTGTAACACTTGAAATGATATAGATTAAAGTGTCAAATGTGTAATACTAAGATCAAAGATTTCGTAAATTTATAATTCATATGTAACTGAAAGATATTTACTACAAATATAAAACAAATCTTATATTGAACCAAATGCACTTCGCATGTATTAGCATGTAAGCTAAGTAGGGTTACCATACACCTATTTCCATTACGATATTTTCTAATGGGCACATGATGTTATTTATTAAACAAGTTGGATAGATCAATGTAATCATAACTGAACATCATATTTCAGTCTCAAACTATTAAAGATGTTCAATTGCGAGTGAATTGTATTGGCCAATCTGACAACAAAAATCTGAGTGGCCATCATTATGCCACATAATTTGCATATTTTATTTGCATTTTCGTGTCATTCCATTTTAGATGCTCTTGAAAAAAATTCCTTTGCAAGGATGTACCTAGTGGGAGATTACATTAGTATTAATACAACTGTCAGAAACATACCTACATTTATCGACTATTTTTTTTATGAATTATTTGTTGTCACGAAGTAAAACACAGAAGACACAAATTGAATATACTTTACATTTTGTATACATAAAATTACCGATAATAGCAGAGATTTGTCAGGGTAAAACAACTGTACCGACGAGCCGACTACTGACAATCAATATTATAATGCTTGCCAACTCTACAGAATCAGTCACACAGTCTATTCAGCATTTTCCTGTCCTATTAATGACTTTGAAATCGTCGCTCATTCAACTCGACCGGTGGTGTATATCTTCGTAATATATATTACTGCTCGAATATGGGCGTTTGTACCCGAGCGCAGGTGATCATTCGCGATAAATGATCTGTTGCTATTGACGAGGATCCGTGTATGGCTCACTGGACCACAACAATCTCCGAATGTTTTTATTCTAAAATATGTGTGTGATTGACGGGCGGATGAAGGCATGTAATAATGAATACATTTCTATTTAAATATTTTTTTTTAAATACAGTTGTTATGATTACAGATACGTGACGGTTAAATTGTAAGAATATTACCCCTACATATTACTACATCACGCCGCACAGACACAGCAAATGTATGGAAAGCAGTCCCTTGGGCGAACGGGTACTGTCAATTATACAAGGTTTACTTACTCGTTTTTTTAAAGTTACTCCCCTATTAACACTTACTATATAACTTAATGTCCACTATTTTAGTTTTTTCAGCATTAAACAGAATTAAGACCAGTTTTCAAAAGAAATTTGATATAATATTTGCCATTCATATCCTAGGGTCTAACATATAGTATGCAATTAATTAACTTGCTGATAGTATCGCAATATTATTGATATCTGGTTAGTAGGCGATGGGCATCATGTTATTTTACTGACTGGCTGCCTACCCGACTCCAGTCACAATGTTGGTACATGACAGGTATCAGAGCAGACAAAACAGTTATTCTGAGCGCAGCCTGATACTTGTGCTACTTGTATATTTTTACTGTTTGACAGTTTGAGGATAATTACTAGTTGTGAGGTGTGACCATTAAAATATACGATCAAGTGGTTAATTCCCAGGTTACTAGGCAACTCGGATACCTGAATCATCATGCATCTTTATTGAGTTAGCTCAAAACCTCGTAGTTGTCGGCGTGAGTGTGAATAGTCTATTCCCCGCGATACTACGTGGACCGCAATGATCGTTTTTACGCCTTATAACTTTATTTTGCAACAAATATATGTGTTGCAGACAATAAACAACTGCAGTACACGCGTGGATGAAGACATACTCGACAGGTCATTCAGTTGGAAAAAACGTTGACACAAGATCAGTAACGAAATATTCCAACGTTTAAAAATATATCATTGATAATCTTTGATAATTTAAGAAAATTTGTGGGCCACATACAGTGTTTTCTGCCAGTGATTCCATTCAATGTTTGTAACTAAGCGGCAAGGCTGTATGACAGTCTGATGAGAAGACAAAATGTTATTTCATTTTATTTTTTTGTTTTAAATCTTATTTACGTAATTTTCATTGTTGGCATTTCAAAGTAATTTCATAATTCATAATTCGATTCATAACCCGAAGCTGATGATATATCTTGCACATTGAATGTGATTTTTGTGGTAAAAGTCAGAGTATGTCAGAATTACACCAGTACAACGAAACTATTTTCAAAAATGATGTTAATCGAATTCGAACTGCGTGAATAGGTGAAATGTTCTTAATTCATCATGTTTTAAATGACTTCTAATCAACGTATATAGACTGTGACGTCATGTTTGATGTTTGATGTATTGATATTGGATGTACGTTGTCTTCTGTTTCCACCGTATTTCAACGCATGTGTGCTGCTGAATACTTGGAATATATTATTAATAGTAGTAGTATGTGTATCCCAATCGTATAGAGATAAACGATTGCAAGACATAATACAACATACGTCTTTCAACACAACAATAACACTAACAGTTGGAATTGACGCATCATGTTGTACTGAATGCGTTGGAATAAATAATTTAAGTACTTGTGTTTCCTCAGTTCTCAGGACATTTTTATATTAATGTTTTCAGATAGATGTATAGTTATCTACTTATAATTGTTCATATGTTAGTGTAAGAGCTTGGTGTTCTGAGTTTGACCCCACGTTTCTTTTATGAGCGTAACTGAAGACATGGCAGTTTCTATAAATATGTACAAATCATATAGCCGTTGCTTTGCAGTCTCTAAAACTTACATAAGTCAGAACTTTGTATATAGGTGCCCTACACTCTGATTTTATCCACACAACTGCGAGACTGGTTAGGTGTTATCAGCTAAATACCAGTATATCCGTAATCACGAGTTTTATTGCTATTATCGTCTATGTACAATACATAATTTATTTGTAATTTTGCAACCAAACAGAAACAAATCTACCCTGGTTTTAAAATAGTATGTACTATTAAAAAAGAACATGTTACCATTATAGTGAGTATGCTTTGTTTGAAACAATTAATTGTATTGCTATCTGCCAATTATAACTAGTAGCATCGTAGTTTCATTGTGTAACAGAACATTGTTAATGCTGTAAATTTACACGATTAGTCATCGTTGCATTGACGTTTCTTTGTATAACACTACTTGGCTCATATACAACCCTGTGCAAATCTCTTTTTCTACCTCTTTCTTGTTCTCTCTCTCACCTATACGTTCTTGCATTCACTCGAGTCATTAAAGCGGGGGAATCGTCACCTGCGCATGCGTCAGATGGCCATAACGTGTCATTGTTTAAAAACAAACTTCTACCCATGAGCTTTTGCGTTTTTAGCGTGTGTTGTTATCGTCGCTGAAGACTCAATTCCCGCGCATGCGCAGGTGACAACTCTCCGGCTTGAACTTTATTTTGATGACTCTAGATGGAACAGGTTCTAATTGTTGTAAGCAAGACACGAACGACTGGTTAGAGGTTAATTACACTCGCTGATAATATTGATCTGAGTAACCGATCTGCTCCAGCACATGGTGTGTTTGTACGTAAGAGCACAGGGAGTTGGACAAACTTATGTATTTTAATAAATTAATAAATAATAAAATGTTATATAACTTTTCTTTAACACCCTCCCCCTTTCCTTGTATCGATTTCAAGTAATCACTGATCTTTGTTCATACCACTCTTTCCTCAGGACTGGCATGAGCCCAACCGTAAAGCGGATGGGCATTTAATTTATTCATGAGATGCATTAATAAACAAGAAATGCTGCGCGCGAATTGAGAAATTCTCAAACGCAAGTTATTTGATCACTCTACAGATAAAAATGTCAGAGTTCCGTGGAAGTAACTGAAATTACTCTCTAACGAACGTACCACACCTATTCACAAGCCAACACAGCTTTAGAATGTTTTCGGTTAGCATCGGCGTGGAACACGTAGAAATGCTCACAGCGTAGAACGCGCTGCAGCGACCCCGGCTGCGACGTTTCAGTGGCGGCTTTGCCGTACAATTTTGCTTCATATAAAAAATACTCTAAACATCAAAACAGATTATCTTACCTAATATCCATTCTGGCACGTTCACCGGCTATTTTGAATGGCTAAAGTTCCTTCCAAAACCTTGAAAGCAACCCCGACAACAACGGCGGCCGGGCAGCATCAGTTCAGCGAACGACAATTTGTTATGCGCAGTATCGTTGCGCAGTAGTTTGAGTGACGTCATCCATGTGATATACCCATGTAAGATTCACTTG